GCTTCTGAGCGTTCGTGTACGTCGATCATTTGATCCTTTCCTACAAGAAAAGTTATGTCAAGTTGAATTATTGCTTGTCACACTTATCAACTTCTTCGATATTTTGTTTGTTGTTAAGTGCATATGGAATACACATTTGCTGGTGATGTTGTTTTTATTTGTGATTGCTTTGAATCTTTTATGACACTTAGTTCTTGCTGGTGTGATGATACTTACGTGACTTTCGTTGATGTTGGTTAGCATTATTGAGTTATTGAATCTCGAAATTATTGAGAGTTATTGAATTTCATCATTGATGTGATTAATTGATTTTTCGTAATGATTAGCGATTTGTGACGATTTTGCACCGTGCAACTATTTTGTATCTTCGTTTGCAATACTTTTCTTAATGTGATGACGATGGTTTTGCGGATATTTGTTGCTTTTGTATCGTTTTTTAATGTTCGTTTCATGGCTTTTACTTATACTCATTGTTTGATTTGCAATATTATTATGAGATTCACGCTTATTTTTAACAATGACTCTGACGATTATAATATCATAGTGAGAAGATTGAGAATTCTTTGAAGGGGCACTTAATCATTTATTGTAATCCAACTTAATTCGCAGATGTCTTGCAGCAAAATTTCGTATTCGTAAGTTTAAAAGGAAAATTTTATTCTCCGAATCCTTTATTGCAATCAAACTCCATTCGCAAAAGCCTTGAACCAACAATTTCTTTATCCTTGCGCTTCGTATATTATCATTGTTAAATATCATAATGATCATCATAGCTTATCGATTCTCTATTAATCCTTTTGAATTACAGGATTGGTTTGAGTAATAGTACTTTTGCTTTTAGTACCGTGATGCAGTGGCATCCATTAAATACACAAGTCTTTAATAGGGTCTGAGCGAGATTCCTTGATTTTTGACTTTTCATCACTCCGACAGTCAAAATCGACCGAATCGTTCGATCGGAATTTCGACCGAAATTGCTGGAATTTTTGGACGACCGTCGGTCGGATACCATCAATAACTACGACTGTAGCAAGTCTTTATCAGCTCTCATTGATAAAATCTTCAAGATACATCAAACAAGATATGCGATTGCAAGGAGGAACTTTATAAAGATGAAGTTAATAAAAAGCGTATGAATGAATAACACGCAAATAGCATGGATGAATGTACACACAATAAAAACGAACGATTACAAAGGACTCAAGGGATACGACCGAAGAGAATACATTTGTATATTAAATGCAACCTCACCTGGAATATACTCTGGTCAGGAACGATTGGTCTGCAAGAGCTAGCGACTCATTCAGAGATATTATATTGCGATACATTTCTGTATATTATGACAATCATTAAATAATACTATCCAGTGACAATAAGATAATGGAAGAATACATTATTACCATTATTATTATAATTATGGAAAGGAAACATACGCAACAATTCAAATTATGTCCTCACACACAAACAAATAAATAATTGATCATCTGCATTCACAAACTGATCGGAAGGAAAACAAAATGGTGATGCTGAAACTTACTGACAATGAGAAAATAAAACATTTGAATTTGAATATAATTAAAGGATGCAAGGTAGTGAAAGTTTTCATAGCAGAAAAAAATCGCCAAGACTGATCACGAAAATGGTAGCGAATCAATGCCACTGCTCGCGAATTTGAAGTCTTCCGGGAAGAGTTCCTTGGCTCGTGGAAAAAGCAGCCTGTAGGTCTGCTTGACGGTCACCTCAGCCGCTCCAGCTATCTCACCAATTTCTGAAATACAAATGACACACAAATTGAATTGATTTTGAGTAAACGATATTCTTCGCATTGTTATAAATTAACTATAATTTATTCACAATCAGCAAAATCAAACTCAAACCCAACTGCAGAGAGAAACCATGCAGAAATTCATACAATTTTGGAAAAACTTGCATGGTTCTATTCACAGCCTTAGAACAATTTCCAAAACATCTCTTAAATATGCACAATCGTACGGATGAAACCATATTCAACACGAATCATTATTTCAAACGAGAGTATATCATTCAATCGTTCCGCATTTATTATACACTTGAACATTTGAATGCTTCTAACATTGGTAGCACTTGAAATAAATCAAATTTCTCATCTATTCAAACTGACGGAACGAACAAAAACTCGCAAATTTGATTCGAACATGAAGCGGGAAGTAAATAAAATTGAGCGAACCTTTTGCTGTTTTCTTATCGTTCGATGCCTGCGATGCCATATAGATCGCGGCTGCAGCGATCGAAATTGGACTCCGACTGGAACGATTGAGTGTCATTCAGAGATTCTTTACGCAAATGAGAAACGACTGATAACAAAAAGTAAGAAAGCAGCAACAACAACAGTAATTATAACTCACCCGGCAACTAGATCCAGCTCAACAGCCTTTTTAGCGATTCGTGTGGCTGCCGCTTGAATTGAATGCGACAGACCAAGGTTTCCGCAGAAACGAGACTATAAACCACATTGAATTATAGCGAAAGCGATAATAACTGTGGCACACAATAACAACAACAGGAATTATTATCACAAGCAACGAACCATAAAATCTGCGCTCGTAATTTGTTCCAAA